TACTCCTATAGAAGCTTGATTGTGTAAGGTTGTCAAGACTTATTTCATTCTCCAGAGTTCAATTTACTTTTTCCTTATCATTCTTCACTTATTTGCCACAATGTTCTTTATTATTATTACATCATTTCACTAAAATGTTTGCCACAACATTTTGGTACTTACACTCCTTTCACATGTGACTTTTACCACAATATTTTATTACTTGTATATACCATCACACACACACACACACACACATAAATATATATACTTAGTGACACTTTGGTATTATAACTTACTTTTAAATCCCACCAATTATTATAGAGACGGTACTCACTCACTACTATATTACTTGTTTGACTGTGTATACTTGCACATATTTGTGTTCCATAGCATAGTACATCGCACATGTAACATAATACTTAATCAAATTAGAAAAATTGCCCGACTTATTGGATTTTAATGCTGTCGCAACCCTTCTAATCTATAACTAAAGATGGATTTAGTTACAGGACACTCCAATTTATCACGAATACTATTTAGCTTAACTAGAGTTATAACACCGATAACCCGTATACGTCTCAAAATACGAGTTAAGGATGTCACATTAAACATTCAAACATTCTTTGCATAAAAACCTTAAAATTTTGGACCTTTTCTAAAATCTAAGTTTAATGATTTAAATCCAATTACTTAATCAGGTAAAATACAAAATAATAATTTATCATTCAAAAGAAAAATTATTTTATGTAGCAATTATGTAGTTTAGTGTTGTTTCATAAACTATATTAAACTGCCTTACCACTGCTTAATTTAAAAAAACTTTTTAAAACATAATATTATATATACATATATATATTTATATATGCACATGCGCGTGCAATTCATTCATACTTTTAGATATAGCTAACACTACGCTATTGGACACTTCGGCTTGGTCGTTAGTCTGTGATGATATACTGTAGCAATCCGATGTTTCACACCATAACGGTTCAATGCTCTAGCAACATGTATTCCAATAAACAAACTGAGATACTTCGTCACTGATAAATTCTCAGGGTGTTCAAAACCGAGTAAAGATAATTTTGTGCAGAAACCTCAACACCGCTTTAGCATTGTTGGTTGGAAAAGCTACAACTTCCACCCATTTGGATACATAATCAACATCAACTAAAATAAAAAGGTTGCCACGAGATGGATATGGTCCCATAAAATCTAGTCCCCAAATTTAGAAACGTTCAATCTCATATATAGGTTGCATTGGCATTTCATTTCGTCGAGAAATATTGTACGTTCGCTGGAAACTATTATATTGTTTAACATACTCATTTGCATATTTGAATAGTGATGGCTAATAATAACCGCATTTAAGCACCTTTACCACTATACAGATGCCACCAAAATGACCTTCATAAGGAGCGCTATGGAAATGATGTAAAATACTTTGTTGTTCAAACTCAAGAATACATCGCCGTAGAATTTGGTCATTGCATTGTTTGAACAAATATGGCTCTTCCCAATGATAATGCCTTACGTCTAACATGAATTTTTTCTTCTTGATAGTTAAGATCGAGTCGCATCATCCCACTAACTAGATAGTTGGCAAAACTAACATACCAAGGTAATGTTATAGCAGCGAGTAGTCGTTTATTAGGAAAATCATCTAGAATAACTAGAATGTTGCCATCTTCGTTACCAGATTCTAATCTAGATAAATGATCAACCACTTGATTCTTAGATCTTTTTTATGTTGAATCTCAATATAAAATTCTTATAGTAGAAGCACCCATCAAATCAATCTAGACTTTGTATTTTTCTTGGCGAATAAATGCTTTAACGATGAATGGTCAGTATGGACAATTACTTTGGTGCCTACCAAGTAAAAGCAGAACTTGTCAAAGTCAAACACTAAAACAAACAATTCTTTTTTAGTTGTGGTGCAGTTGACTTTAGCCTCATTTAACGTTCTACTAGCATAATGGATAACATGGAACACTTTTTTCCTTTTGTTTCCCCAGCATTGCACCAATAGCAAAGTCATTAGAGTCACACATTAACTCAAAAGGTAAACTTCAATATGGTGCTACTTTGATAAGAGCATTAATTAACTTCAGCTTAATTTTTTCAAATGACTTAATCACTTCTTCATCAACAATAAACTTTTTATTTTGCTCCAGCAATAAACATAAGGGCTTAGCAATTTTAGAAAAATCCTTCATGAATCTTTTATAATAATCATCATTTCCAAGAAAGCTTCGAATTGCTTTCGCACTAGTTGGAGGTGGTAATTTCTTAATAACTTTCACTTTTTTCTTGTCCACCTCAATGTCGCGGCAAGAAGTACATGCCCGAGGACCATACCTTCAGTAACCATGAAATGACATTTTTCCCAATTCAAAAGCAGATTGGTTTCTTCACAACTTCTTAATATTGTAGCCAAATTGGTTAAACACTACTAAAAATATTTCGCAAACACATTAAAATCATCCATAAAAGACCTTTAGATAATCTTCAATGATATAAAAAATATTACCATCATACAACGTTAGAATGTCACTAGAGTATTGTATAAACCAAATGACATTCTTCAAAAAGAAAATGTACCATACAGACATGTGAAAGTAGTTTTCTCCTAGTCCTTCGGTACTATAGAAATTTGATTACACCCACTGTACCCATAAAAAAAGTAAAAAGCTTTGCCGGTAAGATGATCTATCATTTGATCTATAAATAGCAATGAGAAGTGATATTTTCTTGTTGCTTTATTGAGCTTTCTATAGTCCATCATATCCTCCAGCTAGTATTAGTCCTTGTCGGCACTAATTTGTTCTTATCGTTTGTCACCATAGTAATGCCACAATTCTTTGGTGCAAATTGCACAGGGTTGACCTAATTGTTGTCTGAAATTGGATATATAATACCATCATCGAACCATTAGAAAATATCATTTCTAACTACTTCCTTCATGATTGGATTTAGCCTTGTATGGTGTTCAATCGAACTATTATTAGGGTCTTCTAAAAGAATCTTGTGCATGTAAAATGTTGGACTGATGCCCTTTATATAGGCGATGCTCTAGGCGATAGCTCTCTTATGATGTTTCAGCACAACAATCATCTTAGCTTCTTGTGAGGTTGTAAGTTGTATTGTCAGAATTGTTGGTAGTGTGTCATTCTCACCAAGGAATAGATACTTTAAATGCTTGGGTAGAGGCTTCAAGTCAAGCACAAGTGGTCCCTCGGTAAATGGCTTTGATGCTTGGATAGTGTGGTCATGCATTTCTAAAGGTTCAATATGATGCATGTAATTTCCATAGCATGTTCCATCTGCATATTTAGATAACTCTTCGATTGTCACAGCATCGCTGGTAGAACATTTGTTTTGTAGTATTCTTCCTAATGATCATGTGCAAAGATATCAATCACATCAAGTGGGAAGCATTCAATACTATCATTCATATAAGAAACAACATTTAAAACATTAAAGTTATATAGTCATCATTTAAATGCATCGTGAGTTCTCCATTTTCAATATCAATTAAAGCTTTGCCAATTGTTAGGAATGGGTGGTCGATAATGATAGGAACATCATTATCACCTTCGCAATCCATAATAAAAAAGTCTATAGGAAAAATAAACTTATCCACTCTCATAAACAAGTTTTCCATTATTCCATTAGGATGCACAGAAGAGCGATCTACAAGTTGTAATGTGATAGTAGTGGGTCTTGCTTCGCCACTCCCAGATTTCTTAAAAATTTATAATAGCATTAGGTTGATGCTAGAACCCAAATCACATAAAGCATTCCCTACAAATTTATCACTAATATTGCAAGGAATAGTAAAACTCCTTGGATCTTTAAGTTTTGGAGGCAATTGACTTGTAGCCATAGTACTACATCCTTTGATAAGAGCGGCAGTTTCAAATTCTCCAAGTCTCCTCTTCTTCGAAAGGACTTCTCTCATAAATTTGATGTAGTTTGGGTTTTTCTTTAATATATCAATCAATAGAATGTTGATTGTTAGTTTTTGAAGGACATCAATGAAAGCTTTATATTGTTGATCCTCCTTTGTCTTTTTGAAGCATTGAGGAAATGATAAAGGTATCCTTGGTTGTTGTTGTTGTGGTATTGAAGTTGGTGAAGCGTCAAATGTTGCAAGTATTGCTATCAACAATGAGCCTGAATTATTACACTGTCCTACATCTTTCGTTGTGGTATGATCCACAAGTGTCTCTAGCTCAACTTCTTTGCTTTCTCCCTTTCCATACTTGGTAATCTCCTCATCATTCTTCCTAGGTTCTTCAACCGACTCCCCAATAAGAATTTCACTCCTTGTAGTAATGGCCTTGCAATGCTTTTTTCCTTGGTACTTATGATTTTCATTAAGGCTTTAAGAGTTGATAGATTGGAAGTTTGTTGAAGGCTTTCCTTTATAAGTTTGCCTTTGTTGTGGTTGTGCACTTTGATGTTGTCCTTGTAGATGTGGCATTGGTTGCTATTGATTGTAATGTTACTGCTGATAATGCTACTACTGTAGATTGGCATCATTCTAACATCTCCTAGATAGATTTGGATGATTTCAATTGTTAGCACTGTATGTGTTGCCAAAAGCATTGTCATTCCTTTGATAATTTCGCACGTCGTAGACAGACTCATGATTTTGAGGGCATTCATCAAAGTTGTGATTATCTCCATAATAAACACAAGTAATGATAGATGCATCCTGAACCTCGTACGTACATTCCCCTGGTTTTTATATCTTCTTCACCATATCCATCAGTGCTGAAATTTGGGATGTCATAGAGTTGAAAGCTTCAAAATCTACTGTTGCAGGATTAAGACGGCCAAAAATATTCCTCATATTGGGGTATTCGCAATCATTGGTTGATATCATTTCCAGAATATCATAGGCTTCATTATATGTTTTATCTAAAAAAACTCCATTTATTGAAGCATCAGCTACCGTACAAGTGTGTATGTTTAACCTGTCATAAAACATCTCCATTTAAGTCCAATGTGGAAACCTATGCATCGGACACTTCGTTAGAAAATCCTTAAATCTTTTCCATTCTTCATACAAGCTTTCATCTTCCAATTGCTTAAATGGAGTAAGGTCATTTCGAAGTTTGCATTAATATTAGGCGGGTTGAATCGTAGCAGGACTTCTGTGCCAACTCATTCCAAGATGTTATAGCACTAGACGGTAGCGAATTCAAGCATGCTCTAGCTTTATCATGTAGCGAATAAGGAAATAGCTTCAGCTTTAGTGCTTTCATGGATACGCCTTGCTGAATAAACAAATTGCTAACTTCCATAAATGCTTGTAAATGAGCTTAAGGATCTTCATCAATGAACCCTCAATATTGTCCCATGGACTGTCACATTTGAAACGTGACTAGCTTCAACTCAAAATTTGCAGCATCAATCACCGGCCTTACTATGATCAATTGTAGATCATCAAGCATTGACACTACATGTTCTCGGATGGGTTCGTTACGATCATCCATAATGTAAAATGGTTATCCTGTTATATTCCCAGTGGGTAACTCAACATCTTCACCATTCTACAGTGGTGGAAAAACATCATTTTCTTATCTATCCATAGATGATTGATTCTTTATAGCTTCTCAGTGGCGTCTTCTGAAACTCCTTTCTATATTTGGATCGAATGGTTTTAATTCGTCGTCATTACGGGGAATAAACTACTAAAACTGAAAACTAATAAGTATCTACAAAATGAAATTAAAAAAAAAGAAAATTAATTAAAGAAGACTCTAAGTGAAATCGTTTGATCCCCAACAACGGCACCAAAAACTTGATGCTTGCTAAATGCTATAGCGAAAGTGCAAGTATACACTAATGCCCAACTAGTAAAGTGGTAGCTCAAAGAGCCATGGGTATCGTATCCATGGGGAACAAGGTGTTTTCCATTAGGATCAATGTAATAAAAATTATGGGTTTTCCAAGATGTATGTAAAACGAAAGAAAACTCAAAGTATGAAAATCCAGGTAATGCTACATCACTGCAGAGAGCATCAAGTCAACAATCCAATCGCATGAGATGATATGATGTAATTCTTATTTTAATTAAGCAAAGTATACTACTTCTATATGATTAGCAATGACTAAAACCCTTTGAGTTGCGTTAATTAACTTTCATTAACTAAGGAACTCAAAGTATTAACAATGCTAAACATTTGGTTGTATACTCCTCAATATACACTATACCACTAAGCAAAACCAATGCTATCAAAGGTGAACAATAACTCAATCAAATCTATTTCTAGAAAATAATTGAAATACCATACTTTTAATTAATAATATTTATACTAGCAATCTTTAAGAAAAATAGCACACAAAAGAAGTGTCATAGGAAAACATAAAGTAAACAATGCAAAATAACATCCATAGGGTTTAAAGAACATTCGAAGTTACTCCCTATCTCAAACAGTAAACTTAGAATGATAATATGTTGACTGCCACTGCTACTCAACAAGCTCTCCTAATGTTGTAGCTTTCCCTGGCTAAGGGCTTAAGCTACCATGATGTATGACGAATAAATATGTAGAGTAGTTCTTTTGAATGGTTCATACAAAATCCTATTTCTTCTCAATGATTTTCATCTCTAAAAATAACCAATATTGACATGTATAAAGATATTTCTACTTCTAAAAAATACTAAATGAAGTTGTAGCACAAAAAAGTATTATTTCAAGCAAAGAACGTAAAACAAACGTTTCATCAAACACCTTGTTCGAAGTTCTTCCCTTTTCATGTAAAATAATTATAGAAAGCTTGAACCCCAAATAGTCACTATTGCTCCAACGACGTTGATGCTCCAATTACTGTTATATTCCCTAATAGATTCAAACCTCCATGGTCAGTGGAGAAAAGAAGAAACTAAAATAGATATGAAGAAAGGTTAAAGAATGGTGAATTTTTTTTGATGGAATGCCTTATTTATAATCTCCAAAGGTCAAAACTTTAACACCCTAAACCAAAATGGGCATATATAAATTATGGTATCAAAACATGTTCATTTTCATTTAAAAACATAAAATATGGTATCAAAATAAATATAAATGGCATATATAAATTCTTTTTATAAGTCGAATCTATAACACACAATTTAAATCAAAATAGTAAAAACTCAAAGCTCGATAAACCAAATACAAGAGTAAGCTCCTCGAACTGCTCAAGCTAATAACCTGAAAATAGAAAACATCTGAATGCTGAGCTTACAAAGCCCAACAGTATAATCACTAATCTAGAGCAACATTATGAGTCTCATAAACATAAGTATGCTAAAGACATGGTACTGAGCAGTAGGTATACGTATGATCTTAATCATGTGCTACCTACTTAAGGTTTAATTGTTATATCTGATGATGACTAATGCTAGTCAAATGACACTTAATGTACTTGATTTTCTTTTATCTCAAACATTAAAATCCACGGTGCTACACAATGTTGCATATTGTTATGTATTGTATATAGCTCACGCTCATATACCAACATAAAGACAACACATATGAGGCTTGGCTCACCTAGCTAAACCACTTACTGTTCATGCATAATACATCGTGATGAAATTAGAGGTTTCTTTGTACCTCGAGACTAATAAATCACTATCTTGAATGCCTTGGCACTAGCTGAGATATATCATGATATTTACAGAAAAAAAGGATATCTCTATACTGGCAAAAGTAAATTGGGTATTTTTAGCACTTTCATGGAGATCCTAATCTCCAATACTGATCTTGGGATTACTAAATCTCTGTGGGTTGATCACACGAACCCTCTACTGGTAATACAAAATCATCCTTAAAGTCTGATATCCAACTTTTACAACCCACACATATATTCTTCTAGGGAACACACAAGGGTGGATGATTTTATGGCTTAACTTTTTCTTAGAGTTGACCTTCAACTCAACAAGGAACAACAACCTAATCTCCTATCTCTAGACATGCAATCCTAAAGTCCAAGGAACACTTGTGCTAATAACTTTCCTTAGGTCAACTACTGATTCTGACCCTAGCCCTCAAAGAATAGCTAAGGTAACCTTGTTTATGAGTCTGACCCTAGCCCTCAAAGAATAGCTAAGATAACCTTGTTTATTCTACTAAGACTCGTCAACTAGGCACGTGTATACTCGTTCTTAGATCCTCTATACGAATACTTTTTTACCTACACCTACTGAAGCAACAAGAAAAATTAAGATAGTTGAAAACATACCTGATATCCCATCTGTAGCACTAACGTCCTGTCTTTTCCTCTCTAAGATCTGACAAGAGAAATCACATACAGTCAAATCAGGAATAGGTTGATCCGCTCCTCCACTCTCTTACCTGAGCATAGAACTGTTAGAGTATACCCAAAGACCAATCATATGATGATCGTAATAATACATTTATTTACCGATTTTATTGAATAAAGGCAATGTCACTATTATTTTCAATTATATGTCTCTGTTTAACATAAACTGAAAGATATTTAAATCTATATAATAACATTATTATTATTAAAAGATCCATAGACAAGTATTTTTATGGGCATGGACAATAATAATACGCTTAAGATTAACATGTTATTGATTGATGACAACGAGTTGTCATTGACATAGAGATGTCAGAATTGATACATGATTATATTGTTAGAGAACAATGAATTGGATTGACCCACCATGAGCATATGTCTTGGATTATTATGTAATGGTCATAACATTGCTCATGGTGATGACTATATGTATGATCCTCAGACTTGAGATCAATGTTATCCCAACATATATTGTTGTGTATTTTGATACAATTAAACATGCTCCATAATAGGAAATATATCATAGCCCACTTGATTGAGTGAGACTAGAAATGCATGGCAATGCTCGAATATTTTGATATGAGATATAACAATTTATTCGTTAATTATAGTCTACTCTAGATATCAAGAAACAATAGATGGGTTATACAAGTGTGACTATTCCAAGACTTGTGCCTATTCTATATATAAAGGACAAAATGATGTAATACATAAAAGAGTTAATCACGAAGATGATATGTTGAATCATAATTTCTTGTACTTAAGTAACAATAATATATTGTTAGATGTCACTCATTGTATGTAATATTAGAATTGTTCTAATAATTACTACTAACGTTACAAGAGCCTAGAGGAACACACCCTATGATTGAAATGGGCAAAGATGTACAATTTTTTGTATGTTACTAAAATATATATAGAGTTAATATATGTATATTTGATATACATATGATTTTAATTATCCGAAATATAGTAAGTAAATATTAAAAGAATGTAATTTTGATTACAACTCTTTGAATCGATATATTTAATTTAGAATAATTAAATAAGAGTTTAAATAAACGTTAAAGATTGTAATTCATATATAAGTCTTTATGGATATTTAATTTGAATTAATTAAATAAGATTTTAATTAATTTGAAATAACTTAAAATCCCTAATATATTAGGGTAACTGTATATATTTAAAGTGAGGCAAGGTCTAGCAACCACTTTTCTTTAGTCGTTTTTCTCAAAACTGTTTTTGGGAAAAGTAAATTTTGCTTTCATTCGGGTGAACTAACTAGAGGCCGAGACGTGTTTTTGTGGAGGCTTATAATTCAAACCATTTGTGATCACCATTAGTCACTGTTATCTTTTTTGTTTTTCAAGGAAACCATTGTAAGTATTCACATTCTTTCTTCCTAATTTCGGTTTTCCATACTTGGATCGTTTGTGAACCATCAATTTTTGTTTCCGCTGCGTCATGGGGTACACCGACGATTCCAATAAGAACTAACACCTCTCTTGGTAGGCTCTTTTCCATATTGAGCTACTGGGATTGCCTTCATCGATTAAGCTGAAACATCTCCATTCGAACTAGGGAAATCCCTTACAATAAGCACAAAGGATCCATATTTATAGTACTTATTAGAAAACTTAAAGAATATTCCTCGATAATTTTTATCACAAAGTTCATACTTTGGAAACCTCAAATCTCTATCAGAGCTTCTAGAGCTTGCCACATATGGTGAATCTGATGATCTCATATAAGACCCTACGTCTAACATTTGACCCCACTAGAGTGGCAAAGCTGATGCCACTTTTATCT